TGCGTGCGTGCGTGCGTGCGTGCGTGCGTGCGTGCGTGCGTGTGTGTGTCTGTACGTGTGCGCGCATATGCACTAATGTGTTACACACTTACAAGTGTACACACCCAATATTATGTCTATTACACTGTACATATCAGCCTGTGTGATGTATTTTTCTCGAAGACCCTGCCTTGACTATAATAACTATAACAATATGGCTATAACTATAACTATAACTACAATATATATATACATATTATGCACGCACACACGCACACACGCACACACAATATACGGTGTGCGTGCGTGCGTGCGTATGTTGACGCCCACGCGCGCTTATGTCCACATGGCTAGGTACATACCTGCATGCTTTGCATCCCTTGCATGGATCCCATCGAGCCAGGCATCGACGCTACGGAGCCCATGCCTCCGACCGTCCCCATCGCTCCCACCGATCCCATAGCGCCTACGGAGCCCATGCCTCCTACGGAGCCCATCGAGCCTACGGAGCCCATCGATGGCGAGTAGGCCTGGCCGAGCATCTGCGGCACGCGCTGGCAGGAGTTGTACGAGTTGTAGTTGCTCTGCATGTGGTTCATGCTCCAGTTGGGGCTGCTGTACGTGGGCGAGAAGTAGCTCTTCGGCGTCAATCCGAACTGCGGTCCGCCAAAAGTCGGATCCCCGAATAGACCCGGTTTGCTGAGCGCCGGCGGCCGGTACGGCGCCGGACGGCGCATGCGTCGTCGTCGCCGGTAGTTGCCCTTCTCGAACATGTCCTCGCAGGCCGGGTCGAGCGACCAGTAGTTGCCCTTGCGCTCGCCACCGCCCTCTCGCGGCACCTTGATGAAGCACTCGTTCAGACTCAGATTGTGCCGTATGCTGTTCTGCCAGCCCTTCTTGTTTTTCTCGTAGAACGGAAACTTGTAGAGTATGTACTGGTAGATCTGCGACAGCGTCAACCGTCGCTCCGAGGAGTCCTTGATCGCCATTGCAATGAGGGCGACGTACGAGTAAGGTGGCTTTACGTTCGGATCCTTGTCCCGTGCGTCTGCGTCACCGTCTTTCTCACCGACGCTCTTATCCGACTTCTCGCATTTACCGTTCTTAGCGTCATCAGCCGACGCGGCGTCGGGCGTCGGCTCGCGCTTCACGATCTCGGCGTGCGTCGTCGTCTGCGTCGCGTGCGTCGGCTGGACGCCGTAGTCGCCGACGTAGGCTGAGTAGTCGAGCTCGGTCGGGTGCATCTTGGTGAGTCCGTGCACGTAGCTTTGCTCGAGAGCCTGCTTCTCAGTGCTAAGCATCGCTGCGTCGCCGCCGTCGTCCTGCACGATAACTGCCGTCGGTCTGCGTCTCCAACTGCGTCGGAGGTCGCCTCGTCAGCGTTGCTTCATCAATCTCGCAGCGTCGACGTCTAGCTAGCGTCGTCGCTGTAGAAGCGTCACCTTTGTAGCGTCACCTTGCCAACGTCGTGGAAGCGTTCTCTTCGCCTTCGGCCTTTGCTCTTCGCTGTCTGTAAGTGCAAATGAAAGCTGTCGTGAGCGTGTGTGAACGTACGTATCCGGATCCGATCGTACAGCGTTGCTATATATGATTATATGTTCTCGTGCGCTCTCTCTCTCGCACTCTCTCGCTCGCCGCGCCCGCCTGGTGCATATGTGGCAGCCGCTTCGCCCTTGTTCGTCGCTGTTTTGCCGTGCAAAACGCTCCCTCCCCGGTATATACCGTAGCGGCCGGCTTCCCGTCGCTCCTGATTATTTATAAATTCCAGCACATTGTTTTGATCGGCGGCTGTGCAGCCGTAGGTAAACAAGCGCCGCGAACTAGCAGCTCGCCGATCTGTTTGGGGAGGACGAATGGTGTGCTAACACCCCGCGTGCATGCGATCGCACCGGCACTAAATAAACTATAGGCCCATCACGACCATTAAATCCGCACGGACCCCTGTAGCGAGCGCGCCTATATGTATCCATCCCGTCCGGCGGCGTGCGGTGCGTGCGTATGGCAGTGCTATACTCGTAGAGCGTGTATATACGCGCGCGTATTATACCCTGTGACGACCGTCGAGTGTGCGTGTACACATCCGGTGCACGCTTGTGTGCACGCGTGCACGAGTGCGTGTGCGTTTTGAGTTTATAGCATATTTAAAATATGGGTATTCAAAATACGTGTATTTTTTGTACACTTACAATTACGCGCGGCAAATTTTAGTTCATCCCTCCATTTCATTCCTTTACTACTATTGCAATCTTCTATAGCGCTGTTCCCTCGACGACCATGCAGCCCTGAATGTCGTTCATCAACTAGCTCCGCTCTTCCCACACCCACCGCACTTCTCCTCAGCTTTCCAGTCTCGTACGCGATCTGATTTGTGGAGTAAGATATACAGTAATTCCTCGTTTCGCTGGCTATTAACCGCTCATATAGGTGCGATGACGCTTTAGTCTGCTACGTACTGCTACTCTTAATACTTATGTCGAGCAGACCCGATTCAACGCTAGGCGTGCAGTCGCGTTGTCGCAAAAATATAAGTTAATCACAAAAACTCAATTTATTTTCCCACGAATTTTGCCAAATAAATTCATGTAATAAATTAATTTGATACGGTATTTGTAACCGAAATACGTGGCACGATTCACATCTCGTCCCTCGAGCTTTAGCGCTGTAGGTTTGAAATTACGTCGCGGCCGTAACTTGCTCTCGCTCGATTAACTTTACATGATGTATAAGGCGAGCGCTTTATCGTACAGCGGTTTCGAGATCGACACTGTAATTGCTCGTTTGGACTACAAGAGCACTGGAATATAAGTTGGAACAATAATCTGGATGAATAACACTGGAATGAACACTAGTGAATAACACTGGTGAATAACACTGGATGAATGACACTGGAACAATAACCTCAACACCCATGGGTGAACATACATATACGAGTGTGCAGGCACTTCAATCGTTTTCAAGCGAAGGCAAAAATTGAAGGTAAACATTCAATGAGTCGCAGGGACATGCGGAAAAAAAGAATAAATAATTTATGTCGCCGACTCTGAGGCGTAATATTCCACGAAACGTTTGCACAAGCTATAAGTTTTTCCATGCCTTCCCGTGTACATGCGCGTTTATGTTTAACTAAAGCGAATCGGCTGTGAATTACATGAGCGAGAGGAGGAGAGCTGAGAGAGAGAGAGAAAACGAGAGAGAGAGCGAAAACGAGAGAGATAGAGAGAGAGAGAGAGAGAGAGAGAGAGAGAGAGAGACGAGACGAGAGAGGAAAAGGGCGAGGGGGAGATGGAAGGAGTGACACCAACACAGATAGAGAGGAGGGGAGAAGGGTGAAACGTGACATTTTACCATAATATGATATATCATAAATTGACACACAAGCGCGCAAGCGCTTTACTGTGTCTCATTATTATGAGACATGGTAAAGCGCTTGCATTGACCCAAGCTGTGTGTGCGGGTTTCTAAATGAATAAATATTCAACCATAAACCTACCGATTGGTCGGAACGGGTTACTCAGCCATGCACTTATCTTAGTCACTACATCGTATATATATATATATATATATATATATATATATATATATTCCCGACGATGATGGAGGAGTGGTCCCAAAAATAAACAGACTGAAATCACATTGTAAACAATGAATAAAAAACGCAATAAAATGGAACGCAGAAAATCGCATAAACCGAGACAATGGGAGCAGATAAGAATCGGCCGCATTTTCGATGGACATGAAATTGCCAGCGTGCAAACGTACGTATCTGTCTATTCGAATTCAAGTATTCGAATTTCAAGAATTCGAATATAATCTCGCTCTCTCTCTCTCTCTCTCTCTCTCTCTCTCTCTCTCT